GATTAGTTCAAGACGCTGCTCTCTGCCTCTGTTGAATCTCAAGAAATCTTCACATTTAATGGTTTTGAATAATTCCACTGTAATTAATGGCTTACCCATTATATTTCTGCCTAATTTAACTGTTGATGTAAAATAGTGACTAAAGGCCAGTGCACACCAAAACCGATAAATATAATGCTTACTGTTATCATTCACACTAATGGCCGATAACATTGTTTATTGTAAGTACATGCTGCAGTTTTGTCGTCTATCGCTTTATATGCTCAGCTCAAGCTCTTTAAAATTGTTTGGATTCTGTCTGGCTGTCAAATGTTTTTATTGTTCATCAACAGGAAAAAAAAAAAACATCTTGAAATGGATTCCAACAATATTGTTCCTCTGTGTCGTTATTATTGTGGATTTATCAGGTTCTGGAAGTATTTTTCCCATATAGGCTTCTGAAAAATGTCTTTGTTAAAGACTTAGAAGCCATAAACCAAACCAACCAGCTATAAGGTGAATGACAATATTACAAACTTTGATTTCGAGCAAAAAAGTATTTGAAATTTGGACAGAAAAACAAATGTACAGGAATGTGTCCTTTAATGCTTAATGCTTTAAGAACTACAGCCCCATGAAGCATTGTGAATGACATATTTAAATTGAATATGATTAGTTTACTGGAAAATGTGCACACACACACACACACACTTGTATTTGTGGTTTACGGGGACTCTCCATAGGCGTAATGGTTTTTATACTGTACAAACTGTATTTTCTATTGCCCTACACCAACCCTACACCTAAACCTACCCCTCACAGGAAACTGCTGGCAATTTTTGAATTTCATAAAACACCGTTTTGTATGTTTTTTAAGCCTTTTGTTTTACGGGGACACAGGAAGTGTCCTCATAAACCATGTTTACGTTGTAGTACCCATGTCATTATACACATTTGTGTCCTCATAAACCTTATATACCTGTACACACACACACACACACACACACACACAGACATATATAGGCTTTATTCAGTATTCACACTATATTATGTAGTTGACATGCAGGCTTGATGGCTTCAACAAAAGCATAAACCATCGATAAGCATCCTCATAGCTCACAATATGTCTGTCTTGATTTTTGAATGATTATTAAAACTTTATAGTTATAGTTACAGTTATCATCCTTAATATGAGCAAACTGTAAGCACACTCCTTAGCTGATCAAACACCTCCTTACATCTTACACCTTTATGGTCAGATCATGTGATTTCCAGTAAGACTGATTGTGTGTTTCCTCATTGTAAATGTAGATTTAGTTGGAATGCAGGTTAATAAAACAAACTGTGGCGCAGGAGTTAATGCATTCAAAGCCCAGGCCAAGACTTGTGCACCTGGTTCCCAGATGAGTTCTTTAATACCATCAGCCACATGTCTATATCCCGTATTCTTAATGTGATTTAACTTGCTCTTATTCTATTAAAAGTCTGCACACACAATTTCTTTGGAAGTGTTTCCTTGAGCACAAAGGATATGTGTGTCGATTACTTCAGTAAGTTACAGGAAAACTGAGGTGTGATCGGAAGTCATAAATCAGGAAAACTGTGCCGGTCATGCTGTGCCACAGAAACTTTAATGGTGGATCCACAATTAGCATGGTCTAAAGTGCAATAAACCACAATATCAGTGCCAGAAGTGTTCCTGTGAATGCATGTGTAATGATAATGTGGCTCTAATACACCATAGACAATGTGTACTCTAAAACATCATAAAATGATTAAGTGCATTTCTGCAAGGATGAAAAGTCATTTTCAGGACTTCACAGCCTCATCCAGAAACTCCCCATCTGTTGTAAGGACAGAACCATCCTTCTTTTTTTTTTTTTTTGCCATGACCCACATAAAAGCACTTTATTAATCTGAGGTTTGACCTCACAGGAAAGGCTTTGTAAGGCATGTAAATCTATATTTAAATACATTACCCAGTTATTAAAACATGCTGCAAATTCATAGTACATACACAGTGCGTTTAAAAAAAGAAAAAAAAATCACATTTTGTTGCTTTGCAGCTTGAAATGAAGACAGACACAGTTTTTGTTTTATCCAGCTGTATTTACTCGGTGCAACTTATAACATCCAAGTGAAAGATATAACACCAACATGTCAGAAAAAAAAAACAAAAAAACAGAATCACTGAGATGGAAAAAGGATCACCCCCTTGTGTCAGTATTTTGATGAACCACCTTTTGCTTTAATTACAGCCTTTAGTCTGTTGGGATTTGTCTCTGTCTCTACTAACTTTGCACATCTAGACTTTGCAATATTTGCCCACTCTTCTTTGCAGAACTGCTCAAGATCAGTTCAATTTGATGGTGAACGCTTGTGGACTGCAGTCTTCGTCATTCCACAGATTTTCAATGGGGTTTAAGTCTGGGCTCTGACGTCAGTTCAATTTGATGGTCAACGCTTGTGGACTGCAGTCTTCGTCTTCCACAGATTTTCAATGGGGTTTAAGTCTGGGCTCTGACGAGGCGCTTCAGAGTTGCTGAAGGCCTCTTGGTCGCCTCTCTGACCAGTTTTCTGGCTCTTTCATCCAGTTTGGAGTGACGTCCCGACCTTCCACTTCTTAATAATAGACTTCACTGTGCTTCTAGGCATTGATAAAGCCTTTGAATTTTTTTTTTGTATCCATCTCCTGACTTGTCTGTCACTACTGTGTGTGTGCACTTGGGTGGGTGAAATGCAGAGCACAAATTCCAAGTATGGGACACCATAAATACAGCTGGATAAAACAAAAACTGTGTCCGTCTTCATCTCAGGCTGCAAAACAACAAATTGTGATTATTTTAAAGGGGGTGATTCTTTTCTATACACACTGTGTATCAGACCTGCTGTTAATCACTAATCCCAGTTAAAGGCACAAGGAAGGTAGTAAGTGTGAGAAAAACTGATTTGGGAGAAAAGATTTGTGTGAAAAAGAAAGGGCCAGAGAGTCACAGGAGAAGAAATTAAATTGGTGCTGGGCCTGCTTTACCTCTAGCCTTTAGGTTAGCAGGGAAGGCCTGAATTGAGGTAAATTGGGGTTTATTTCAGTATCAAAGACTCACTCAGTTTACTTGGATTCAATTCAACTCTACATTATGTAGAGTGCTATTGTATATTAGTGGTTCTCAACTAGTGGGTTGCAAAAAAATAAAAAAAGAATAACATTTGTTCTGATATGGTCGTGAACAGCAGGGACTAATAATGCTAAATGCAAATAATAACAATAAACATAATTGTTCATAGCTGAAGTAACATAAATAATATACTTATCAACATTTAAAAGGAGAAACTCTTCCCATATCTATTGTTACTGATGTCAATGGATGTGCGCCCAATCAAACTCTGCAAAACATTAACATAAATTCATCTACCACTTAGTAAAAGGGCTAACATTAATATAACATTTGACAAAGTGTTTGTTTCTTGGCTGAGAAATCATACTTATGCTGTTATGAATTTAAAACTACACTATGTAACTTCTGGCCCTGTAGCGGTTAAAAATATAACTGCGGAAACACATTGTTTTGGTTGTTCTTCGGCTCTGCTACTCTACGCGGATGAATGTGGTTCTGGTGTACACATGGCCTAGTAAGCCCTTGATTAGCTGGTTCAGGTGTGTTTGGGTCGGAGATAAACTCTGCAGGACACCGGCCCTCCAGGGCCGAGTTTGGTGACCCCTGCTTTAGTAGGTCAGCAGAGGTATTGAGGTATTGACTGTGGTATGGTTTACCAGTCATTTTTTGTCAACACTGAAAAACACTCACATGCCTTGAAAGCACACGTGCACGCTGCTGCTTGACAGTAGGGCTGACAATTAAGGGTCTTTCTTCAGTGCTGGTCAAAACATCAGGTCACTACCTTCCTTTAATGACTTGATAGGCAAATGGTGCTGTCATTTCAACAGCACGCGATAAGAAATAGTGGAGATGTTTCTGTGACATTGCAAAAGTGCTGTTGAAGACAAAAGCCTGCTTGTGATACTGCTGAAGGGCCCCTGAACACCAGCCAACAATCAGTCTCTTACTAAATAAACAAGTGCGTGCAGCCTACAGTGACAGCAGCGACGCGAGCGCCCTCTAGTGTCGACCTCTTCAAACAGACGAAGACAGATGTGAAGAATTTAGACATATTAAATACATATTTACTAATATGAAATAACGTTAAACAAGAAAATGTACGCATATTTTACAAATAGTTTTATTATAGGCTACAATAAAATATATGATCCCACTAGGATAGTTTCAAGCTTGACATCATAGGCTTGAGATGACATAAAAGAAGTGGCTGTTTTCTCTGTGATATGATTTGGTTAGTGCAAAAATGCACTAAACAATTAGAATGAGCGATTATAATATGTGAATGGTCACGCTAAAATGATTAGATTAGCTCCCTCTAGTGTACATTCACAGTCTATTTCAACCCCTCAAAAATAGTTCATTAAAAATAGATTGTGTAATTAAAAACATAGAATTTAAAAAAACACAGATCACAGATATTAACAGACAGTTCCTGAATTATGTATTTCAGTGAGGTTACTTTCATTCTTCCAATAATACTGTATGTTGTTGACATGACCTGTCATTTTACTGTCCTCATAGAAAAAAAAACGTATACTTTTATTTCATCTTATATTTTTATAAATCAGCTGGACCGCACACATCACAGATTTTGTCCAATACATAAAATTATCAATTATAATTTATAGTTTTAACATTTTAAACAAGTAAAATGTGGAAATTGTCCTGCGATGTATGACTATCCCTTAGTTTCAAAATTAAAAATGAGGATATAAATACTATTTAAATATAAAATTATATTAAATTACATAATTCATGAATTTATCATGAATTTATTTATTAAGAGTCTATACAACTGTCACCAATTATTCTCCTGAAGAGTGACAAAATCTAATCAACGGTCTCTTGAAAATGCTGATCAGGACACCAACCAGCAGTAAGCTTTCAGGGACATTTTTAAGTTAGCAAATAAACAAGTTCTACCTCCTACTATTAATTACAAGTTTGTATGCATGTGAAGCTACTTCTTCACTCCTGTGATGTGATGTTTGTAAAGTTACCGAATGATTTTCTTCATTGGAAGTGTAATTCCATACGAATTAATTTATTATATTAATATATTTATGTACTGTCATTTAGATTCATCTCCTAAATGAATACATGCATATGTAATGTTTCTGCACATTCAATCAAAGCTTGGTGAATGCAGGATTATTTGATCCACACAAAGCCAATTTGTGTCCCAAAGTTGAGTCCATCTCTCACATGGGAGAAGAATAGTTCAGGATGGCAGGAGGTGCAGAGTGTGGAGTCAGACTTGTGTGGGATCCTGAGGTCCTCGATGTGTTCGGGTTTGATCCCACCTCTCTCCAGCAGAATTCTGAAAGACAAAGCACGATTGGTAGTAATGTAACATTCTTTTCAAAGAATAGGCTTTCAAAAAACAAAAAAAAACAAAAAAAAAATGCATAACCTATAACCCCCGCCCGGGGGAAAAAAAAGGTTTTTAGGTACGATTTAAAAATATCAAGTGTCTGTGCTTCACAAATCTTTAAGGAGCGAAGATTACACTTCAGAGTATATTGTGTTAAAAGATCAAATCAATCAGAAGTCTTCCATTAGAGTTAGTCTGCAATGCACACATGTGCACCCATTGTCCCCTGGGCAAAAAACAGAAATAGATATATATTACCCCTCACACAAATCACCTTAATTTCAGAGGTGTTCATTACTGTGAGTCACTTCAGGGAGTGACATGACCTCTGTGAGAGGCGCAGAGGGCGGAGGGATCAATAAAACAGGTCTCTGGTGTACAGTTGAAGGCAAACCAGGCTTCCGCTGGTTGACCTTTGATGTTTACCTGGTTGCGTGTCTGATGTCAACATAAGGTCTTGATGAGTCGATGTGTCTAACACAGTCTGGGTGTATGGCGTGAAACTCTCGGGCCGAATCTTGCTCCAGAGTAAAGCAGCATGGCCCAACAGAAGGCCCGATCACACACACAATGTCTGCAGGCCTGCTGCCAAACTCTGACACCATGGCATTCACCGTTGCCATGGCAATTCCCATGAGAGTCCCCTTCCAGCCTGTGACACACACAACTATTACATTTATGCTACAGCTTCCAGATCATTTCGGGAATATTACTGTAAGATATTACATAAAAACACAGAAAATGTTCATACTGTAGCTCTGAAATGGCATAAACAAGGGTTATGTAAGCACAGCACAGCAATGACAGCAGCACTGAGAATAACTCAATTACATTTACCCTTCTGGGAATACTCCACTTCCAGCTGCATTTCAGATAAAACAAATAGCTTTCTATGTCTGTGAATTTCATGAGTGTGTATTTTCTCTTTAGCTGCGTTTCGATTGACAGGGTCCCTATGCAGTGTTTACTACTCCCTACTCCCTGAGCACAGGATATCTGTTGAAATTGACTTCACTTGACAAAATGCGTTCAGTTGGAACACCCTAGTCATCACACACAGACAAAACTTGACATAATATATAAATATAATGACATAATATAATATAGTAAGATATTTATTTATTAGTATCTATATATTAACGTCACAATATATACATATTAAGTTTGTATTAATTTAATCAATTTAAACTGTCATATTTGAAAGCACTAAACTGAGTAATAAATGCTGATGCAATGTTTAATACTTAGAACACTCTATAATATTATCACACAGACTAAACTTGCCATAATATAATACGCAGTATACAGTATACTATGCAGTATATAGTAACACGCAGTATATGTATATCAATTAGATTAATGCTTGATCGAAATCTCATTTATTTACAAGTTTTCAGAATTTCATCTTACATTTATAGAAAAACATCTGCACCAAATTGCACATTTTTGCCCAGTTTTTGGGCCTCTGAATAAAACGAATGTGTTTTCCTCCTTGAGTGTGAGTTCCATAATCTCAAAATGTTCAATATTCTCTTAGTTTTACTAAATGTTTAATGAACTGCTCAATAATAGGATAATAATAATAATATGTCCAAACTTGAAATGTATTGCATGTATAGGTCTGTTTATTATTCCGAATGAAATTATGTCAGACCTGAGATTCAAAGTTTCTGTATTACTAATTTAATAAAATATGCAAATGCAATTAATATTATTAACTGTGCATACTACAGCAAATCTGCGTATATTGTGATCATATAAATGAATTGAACCAACCTGAAATTAAAGAAGATCTAAGAATTGCAATGTCTCCTTTGAGCGCTGGTAGGTGCTGTAGAAACGTGCTGAGCTCACGTTCAGCGTCAGCTGTGCACTGACCCGGGGGACAGCAGTCACAGGACAGATTGTCAAACATGATACTGTACTCGAAATTATACGCAGAAGTGAAGAGAAGCCCCTGGTAGACCTGAAACAACCCTCTCCCGCGGCTCGAAGTCACGATCTTCACGTTACTAATGTCTTCTTTGTCTATAGCCTGTTTGAAATCGTATAATGCTGCTGAAAGCGAGCTTTTGCACAGGACCTGTGGGGAGTCGCTGAAACCGATAAACATCTCCTGAAGTGAGCTTCTAGCAAATCTGTCCGTCCCCACGGAGCTCTCTGGATCCGCGATGATGAAGACCGGTTCTTGTGAGCCATTCCCGGTCAATGCACAGAACTCGCCGATGCGCTTTTTCACACAAATGTCATATTGTGAAGAGCGGGTGTGTGTGAGATCCACGAGAGTTACTGCAGCCATCTCTGATTGCTAACGGGTCATCACACGCAGAAAGCGACTGTTTAGCTCTATCTGCGATAGAGGTTATATGGACCTGCAAACATTCCACACCTGATTATGAATGTCACAAACGAGGAACTTTTTTTATTTACCACGAAAATAAAATTTCCTCTGTTCTAGGCACTTCCTGAAAAGAGCGTAGCGCCGCCCTCAGTGGAAACTCCTCGCCAGACGAGCGCCTCGCATGTGCTGCTCCTTCAGGTGCAGAGTCTGCAGACATGCAACATAATTAATTGCACGTGACATTTCTCTGACACAGAAATTCCAGTGGGTTGCTGCAATTAGATTCTTTTTCATTTTACCTATCGGCTGTTTTGCAGACATGTAACAGACTATCAGATTTCATAATGAACTTCTCCATTAAAGAGTCTTGTTCTGAGACTGGACTGACACTGTCCATGAACCTTGCGTTTTGTGGTCATGATGAGGGTAATTCCTGCTATGCTGTACATTTTCATGTCCTCATCATATCGTCACCTTGGAAGGTTAGCCTATCTGCATTCTGAGCGGTTTCGTGATATCGAGCTTCAGAGTTTTTGCATTCCATATAGTTATATGGGAAATGGGGAACAAGTCTCTTTCATACATCAGTCCCAAAATGTACACAACTTAAAAAAAACAAAACAAAAAAACATCACATAATGTAAATAAGTTGTCACAGAATAAGAATATGTGAAAACTCAATTTCGACAAAAATGGCATATAGAATCTTATAATTCCAAGGTGACGATATATGTCCAATATTGGATTAAAAATTAATTAAAATGATAATATCACAATAATATGTGAAAATCGCTTCACTCATTTGAACTTTATGTTCATGTCCTTGAATGAAGAAATCACTTCTGACATGGAAAACAGGCAAATATTCCAAGTGGTTCTTCGCTGTTTCCTTTCTTCATTCAAAATGATTAATGTTGGAGAGAAAAAACATGAATAGGTTTCTCCTGTGTTGTCTGTGTTTACTTTCCTCTGTGTTAATCTTTTGTAATATCCCTTTATCTAATAAATGCCAGCAGCTGCAAAAAGTTAAGAGAACCCTCAATAATGACAATAAAATTGAGTGTTTTCTTAATTTAAGGGGTTTGTTTAAACTGGTTGCAGGTCCTAACGTCATCTTCCAGGAAATGACATCACCACATTTTTGGTGGGAAAACAACAGCACGAACACTAGTAAGCATATGAATCAATAGATTAATTCTGTGATGTTTTGTGCTATTAGTTGTCAGCATTTCAGAGTTTGATTAAATGATAGAAATCGGTATAATAATATATAATAAACATTATAATAAAAATGAAAAAAATAAATAATACAAATTTCCAAAATCTGCAATACCCTATAGTCAGAGCTCAGACGGTAAGATGAATGACCCATAAGTATTTAATTACATGATTATTATTGTTAGAGGTTATTTTGTTATACTGTACTCTACTGATTCCAGGGGAAAAAAAGGAAATGAGCAGTTGTCTTATAATTCCTGTATTTCTCAGAAATTCTTGCATCATTTCACCATTTGAATAGAATGCCATTTAAGCAGGACAATGCTTGTCGTTACATGGGCACAAAAGCTTGTTTTAGCAGTGGATACTGATTACATACACATAGTAAAAAAAAAATGCTTACATTTGAATATTTTTTGTGAATTCTGTCCTCCAAACTAAAATTGCAATATCATTATATTTCTGTAGCTTTTGAGTAACAAGTGAATACAAAAAAACAAAACAAAAAACACTGAAATACATTAAGGCCAATTGCAGGTATAATAACTTAAAAAAAACAGCAACACTGAATTGTCCATACATGTTTTACTAAAGATTCGAATTCCACTGTTCATAAGTGTTTTACTATTTTAAATTTGCTGAAAAGCCTTTATAGCCTATAATACCTTTTTCAGTACAGAGGTGTTGTGTAAGATGGCTTTTTATTACTATATAGGCTATTTCACATTTCCCAAAAAGTTATTTCGCAGGTTTCCGCTAAGAAAAAAATAACCTAAAAATCGTAACATCTAAATTAACTGGATTTTTATCTTAAGATTTACATACAGTGTAGGCCAATATGTAACCTCATGTCTGACCTTACAGTAGGCTTTTATAAGAAATGTCTTTTTTTTTAATGTCCCACCTTACTACTTTATTTACTGTAACATGTTAAGTGGGACAGGGCTTAAACCCCACAACTAATGTGTAGTGACAATAATTGAAAGACTACCATAAATGTTTTATGCTATATTCTCTATAGAGGCTTAAGAAGATTGTATTTGTGGTTTTTCTATGTAGACTACTTGCTTACTTTAGATGTTGATGCTTGACAAAGGTAAACATTTTTAGAATGACAATTTATGATCATTACATTTGATTTTCTCCTGATATGCCAATCAGTCTGGAAAATTACATGTCTCACTTAACCTGATGTCCCACTTTTGCTGTTCATTAAGCTCTTAATTTTTTATTTTATTATTATTATTATTATTATTATGCAACATATGCAACAAAGACATATGAACATTAATGGACAATACACAATACACAGACATAAAAAAATAATGATGATCTTAAATGATTTACACCATAACAGAGTCTTGCATGCAAAAGAGTTTTTAGAGTTGATGTTTCTTAAAAATAAAAAGTAGTTTTCTTGGAAAATTTGCACTTGTGAATATAAAATTTAGCAAGAAAAAGTAATAAATTGAGTACAAACTTAGAATGCGAAGGGTCTAGATCCGAAGAGTCACCAAAAAAGACAATTTTTGGTTAAAACAAAAGTTTGAAGATGGATATCTTTTGACAAAGTTTGAAAAGTCAACCCAAAATATTTTACAATACACATAGTCCCAAAATAAATGATTAATTGTCTCTTCAAACTGATGACGAAAGGAGCACAAGGGGGAAATACTATTATTCAATTTAGCAACTTTATAATTAACTGGGTAGCAATTGTGAATAATTGTAATAGAAACTTCAACAAGTTTATTAGATAGAAAAAAAACTAATTCGCTGAAGAAGCCAGAAATCTGCCCATAATATATCATTAAATTTGTTATTCCAAAAGCTTACACAAACAGGCAAAAAAAAATCCTAGTTTTGTTCAGAATTGAACTAATTTTTTTGTTTGACAAGCTGCTGACAGGACATTGATCAACAAATAGATTAGTGCTGTCAAAAATAGGAGGAGAGCACAAATGACCTCTAGGGCCAAGTTTGACTAAATGTTTAACACAATCAGGTATCGCACCAAAAACAATGGCATATTCTTTAGCCTCTTAAGACCCGAGAAAAGATTTTTAGGAAAAAAATAGTTTTTTTCATGTCTTTACATTGTTTAGAGCATAAAAAAAATGTAAAAAAAAAAAATGTAAAAAATTATATTTCATTCATAAGTTATGCTATGTTCTCGGTAGAGGGGACTCAAATTATTATTTTTTTAAAATAAAAAGACATGAATGAACATGCATAGGCAAAAACAATAGATTTTTTAAATCACCAATACATTTTTAGTTTTCAGGATTTTTTCTTTTTACCAAACTTTGTATAAAGATGATTCTCAACTATGTTATAACATAATGATTTGATATACCATTTTTCTTTCTGCAAAATGTGTGTAAAATGGCCATAAACGGGTTTTCTCATTATATACAATGTATCTATAAACTAAATCTAATTTGCATATTAATGTGTTTTTGGGGCAACATGTAATGAAAAAAGAAGTGTAATAATGGGAGTAATATTTGACAAGATTTTCATAATAATATATAATATTTCAGAGAATATTGAAAGATATTTATTTATTAGTATCTATATATTAACGTCACAATATATACATATTAAGTTTGTATTAATTTAATCAATTTAAACTGTCATATTTGAAAGCACTAAACTGACTAATAAATGCTGATGCAATGTTTAATACTTAGAACACTCTATAATATTATCACACAGAATAAACTTGCCATAATATAATACGCAGTATACAGTATACTATGCAGTATATAGTAACACGCAGTATATGTATATCAATTAGATTAATGCTAACTTTTCTTTATAATACATTTTATTTTAATTAACCATGATCATGATATTTGCACTGTAACTGTCACATCTCTTGCACTTTATATCCGTTAACAGCTGCATACAAAACACACCTAGGACTAATTAGGCTCAATAAAACACTGGCGCCTAAACTTATCTTATCACTGTGTTTATATTACTCCTTTAGTACCGGAGTGATGCGTGGGTAAATTCCCTTCTCCACTTCCTATTAAGAGATGTATTGATGTTCACTTCTGAGATTTCAGGTTATATGAATACACACTTCACACAGTGTGAATCAGTATAAGGTTATGTGGATCTAACCCTAATCTATCAATTACATTATTATTTGGGTGAATGAAAACCTGTCAAATTTTGTTTAAAGAAATTAGTCTATTTGTAGGAGCATTAAGATTTTTTGCATTGTGATGTGTGACTCACCTGCATGTGCCACTCCAATGGCCTTTGCTACGGGGTCAGTGAAGAGCAGCGGCATGCAATCGGCCCCTGGTGCTGCTATGACAACGCCCACCTGATTGGTCACCATTCCGTCGTAACTGTCGGGGGCGGGTTTGCCCATCACCCACACATCACTGGCATGATTACACTGACGTCAGTGACAAAGACATGCAGTCAATATGTTGGTCAGATCAGTCAATGCCTGATGTATCAAAAATTATACAATACATTAAGCACATTTAAAAAAAATTAAATTCTAAATGTTTAACAAACTGTTCCAATATGAAAAAAAAATTATGTCAGGCTTTACAGGGTTAATAATAATAATGATAATAAATAATTTTAATTAAAATGTATTTATATATACATACTATTTATATTTGTGTACTAAACTAATTTCAAGAATGTATGCATGAGATAAGATCATGAGAATAATCAATTTCTAAACAAGCACAGAAAATGTTTAATGTGAAAGTTCAGTCAGTGAGGCGGTATTCAAAATGGAAATTTTGCAAATGCAGTGGCATGTGTTTGGAATTATGATATGCTGCTTGCTGATAGAGTGACTTCCTCATATTTTCTTTGTGTTAAAGTACCTTTATGAGGTTGAACTGGTGAGGGTGAAACCCAGCCTGCAGGCCGAGCCGCCGGAGGTTCTCTGCCACCACAGCTCTGGAGTCTTTACGCCGCGGGTTACAGAACAGGTTCAGTGAGCTCAGAGTGCTGATGTAGGATATACCTCCGGTACGAGTGGAGAAGCCATGACCGAAGCAGTCTTTGAATCACAAGAAATAGAGACATAGATCGACTGTCAGGATGGCATTAAAATGATGAAATAACATTATATATTTAACAATTCTATTATAATTGAGCTCCTTCTGTTTTTTTTTCTAGCTCTGCTCACTCTGGACATTCACACTGCCTACATCAGGTGCATCCTGGGATGCTTTTAAACAGTATTGAAGGAGTTCCCATGCATGTTAAATGCTCACTGCCTGTATTTCATTCACTATCTGTTCCAAATGATCCATTAACGCTATAAAGCCTACTGGATCACATTTGATACTTGAAATTCTAAGGCATCTCAATTATCCAAATGATCAAAAACTTTGCTGAAAAACCTGTTGTACGCAATCTACTACATGCCTTCTGTTGTTTGACTGATAGTTCATACTTTGTAGGAAGTAAAAGGCCTTTTAGTATATTTCTAAAAATGTCTGTTTTCAGGTTGTGGTACACGTGTCTTTTTGCTGTGAAAACGTTACTGATTTTTGTAAACGAAAGAATACCATTTATATTGTTATAAATATTTTGAGATTAACATATACCAGACTGAAGCAACTCAGGTTTACTTGATTATCCATACATCATTTTTAAGGGAGGAAAAAAAATCATGTTAAAATGCTAAAATGTGAGCATCAGGCTTTTAAGAAAATGTATTTGTTCATCTGTCAATCATCATGTATTGCATTATATGTTTTGGCCCCAAAATTAAAACTACAGAGCTTAGATCATAAAACTAACCATTTAAATATCATCTTATTAAGAGACACAGAGTGACAACTGATATTTATATGCAAGCAGTCTATTATACTGTGATCGAAATCTCATTTATTTACAAGTTTTCAGAATTTCATCTTACATTTATAGAAAAACATCTGCACCAAATTGCACATTTTTGCCCAGTTTTTGGGCCTCTGAATAAAACGAATGTGTTTTCCTCCTTGAGTGTGAGTTCCATAATCTCAAAATGTTCAATATTCTCTTAGTTTTACTAAATGTTTAATGAACTGCTCAATAATAGGATAATAATAATAATATGTCCAAACTTGAAATGTATTGCATGTATAGGTCTGTTTATTATTCCGAATGAAATTATGTCAGACCTGAGATTCAAAGTTTCTGTATTACTAATTTAATAAAATATGCAAATGCAATTAATATTATTAACTGTGCATACTACAGCAAATCTGCGTATATTGTGATCATATAAATGAATTGAACCAACCTGAAATTAAAGAAGATCTAAGAATTGCAATGTCTCCTTTGAGCGCTGGTAGGTGCTGTAGAAACGTGCTGAGCTCACGTTCAGCGTCAGCTGTGCACTGACCCGGGGGACAGCAGTCACAGGACAGATTGTCAAACATGATACTGTACTCGAAATTATACGCAGAAGTGAAGAGAAGCCCCTGGTAGACCTGAAACAACCCTCTCCCGCGGCTCGAAGTCACGATCTTCACGTTACTAATGTCTTCTTTGTCTATAGCCTGTTTGAAATCGTATAATGCTGCTGAAAGCGAGCTTTTGCACAGGACCTGTGGGGAGTCGCTGAAACCGATAAACATCTCCTGAAGTGAGCTTCTAGCAAATCTGTCCGTCCCCACGGAGGACTTAAAACTGTGGCATGTATAGGCTCAGAGAAATAGACGAAAATATAATGTCCTCATATGAGGATGCAGGGTCTCAGGAGGTTAGGGGGGACTGGAAAATAAATTTTTTGCATAACATGTTCATACGAAAACAAGACATCTGTATCATCTAAAAGCTGACTCACTCTCAAGTTCATCACTCAGTCACTTCCTCGTAACTGTATGACCTGTCATAGCGACGAGTTGATCATTTGATAGGCTAACTAAAACATTTAGCAAACACTGACGTGTGTCCAGTGGCCAACAGAGGGAGTACAATTACCAGAAGATGTTGCCTTTACCCTGATCATACATGGTGCTCTGATTTTGATCTGAAATATTATATGCAATAACCTCTCTGTTAAAAACCACCCACATTGCATATGGTCTTCATTTTAAAATGTTGAGCTTTGTGAATTTCATTTAATGTTAACACACAAATAAGCAGACCACAGCATCTAATTCTGCGTGAGATTCACAAATATTTTAGGTCACAAGACTAAATCTTAAGACGAATGCATCTTACCAAAGAACAGTACATAAATAAAAAATAAAAAATAAATATTGGTTGTTAAACTCTTCCTTCATCAATCATTCAAAAAAATTTTTTTTAAATTAAATAAAAAAAATAAAAAATAAAAATTCCAAAACACTAAATATACAAAAATATCTATGTAATGGATTTGCATTACACATCAAACTACTAAATACATAAAATTCTGTGACTACACTCTAAAAAATGCTGGGTTAAATACAACCCAGTGCTGGGTAAAATAGGGACAAACCCAGCAATTGGGTTGTTTTGACCCAGCGGTTGGGTTAAATGTTTAACCCAACCTTCTGGTTAGTAACCCAACCGCTGGGTCAAAACAACACAATTGCTGGGTTTGTCCCTATTTTACCCAGCACTGGGTTGTATTTAACCCAGCATTTTTTAGAGTGTAGGTTGATTATTGTGTAAATAATTTCAGTATAAGTCATGCAGTAAATATTGTCATTGCACTGTTAGCATATTAGTCTGACTCACACTTCACATCAGGCAACTGACTCGTGACTTATTATTATTAATATTTGTCAGTTTTTATTAAACTGCACGTGAACTGTGCTCGCTCGTTGGAGGCAGTTCGCTGTGGACTCGTGCACACTGATCCGTGTCGCGCGCGCCTCGGTCTCTCGCTCTCAGCGCGCGGAAGCAGCAGCTGCTCCGTCAGAAGCAGCAGCAGCAGCAGCAGCGAAGAGCGACGACGGGCAGCGTTTCGCAATTCAGCTTCGTTCACGTTTATTTCGCGGGATTATTACGCCCAATCGTCCGGAGGCTCGGAGCAGGCTTGATTCAGACCGGTAAGAGTCGTTCTTCATTCTTCAGGGTTGCTGCTGTGTGTATTCGCTCCGTGCGTGCGTCCCAGTCCTGATAGCGTCTGCTGGTTCCCATTCTTCTCATTTCATCAGACTGAGCTGAGCTCCATCACAATGTTCCCTCCTATCGAAGCACCAACAGTATCTACGAGCGGTGTATTTACATTTTATTTACATCCTGTATTTTTTTTTTTTTCTAAATTGCTTGGTTTCTCAAGAGACTGAATTCATATCAGGCTATAGTTGTTGAAATACTTGTTGAGACGGAATGATCATTATAGGTTGTTGTTTATTGAATATTATCAGTTTTGAAAGTTCAACGTGCGAATGTTTTGTTTTGGTTACAGAGTTCACTGGAAAGAAAGCTGCACAGACTTCATGAAGGACATTTTTTCGTTCATATAACACGATAAAAGCGATAGACGATCACAAACAATAAGTTTCTCGGCTTTGCGATGATTTGAAAGAGGCTGAAGACAACATACGTTGGTTACGTTCTGCTTGGAGGAGTTAGGTGTTGAATGTCGGCTCATTTCTGTAGTTTGCTTTATTAATCGCCGGGGTTTCGTGAGTGCCAGATGCTTCAGCGGCTCTGTAGAAACGCCGATGCCCTTGATATCGTGTCACCTGGGCAACCGCTTCAGCACCATGGAGAGAGTCCTGCTGGCTGAGCGCATATTCCGGGAAACCAAGTCACTCTCATCTGCTCCATTTCTAGGGTCGTTGATGATCAACTTTTGTTGTGACACTGTTTTGTTTATAAGTGTTAGCTGTGACACTAATCTTATACAAACAAACAAACCAAACAACTTTTAAAGTCATATGACATTCTAAATATGTGGCTAATGATTTCTTTTATAGCACCGTTTGTTCTTGTCCTCAAATTTGATTGGCTCACTGCGTTGCGAATTTGCTTTTAGAAATTGTTTGGTCACATGCAGCGAAATTCCGCTGGTGAAAAGGGCGGGACTAGATATGAAGAGTGTGTGATGCGCTTTACAAAAAAAAAAAAAAAAGTTCTAAGTTTTATCAAATTTTATATTTTTAATCAGTGCCTTTATTAAGTTTAGAGAAACAAAAGTGAACTTGTTACTAGTTCTCGTTCATTGTGAATATTTATGAAGCCCCGCCCACATAAATGCCACATCATACAACTTCTATTGGTCAGCGATGCGGATTCGTTCACCAAACTTGAACCCCACAAATTTATGGAGGGGAATTAATTTCTCGGCCACCATCAGGCAAAATTTCATCATTGCACGGATGATTTCTGAGCTATTTTGTCTGTATTCTCTCTCGTGAATGGAAGCTTGTGTTATTTTTTAATGTATGTATGTACTGTATGTAGCATGCATATGTTGTTCCAGTCCGGCTTTCAGCCTTTGCGTTGATTGGTTACACGCAAAGCTCGATATTTTGGCTTCTTTTGCAACTATTTTTGTTGACAGTGCAGATGCAAATCAACTGGTCTGTTCCTGTCAGAATTGTAACTACCCGATACTCGATCTTAATTACTTGCTTCTTTAACTGTTGTGTAAAAGCAATATCATACTTGTAAAATGTGCTGTTAGTCTGAATATCATTAGAATAATCCGTCCCATCCATCGAGAACATTACTAACTGTTCATTATATATTCTAAAAACTACCCCGTTTTAAAAGATATTGATTCCTCTGAGCAATCGATGCAGCTGTAGTACTACAGAATGTAATAGATCACAAAGAAGCCTGTCTTTTGTTGAAATGGAGAATTAGAAATGGTTTGATTTCATTCCGATTAGAGTATGAACAAAAGTCCATTATGAAACCTGCAAATTCCTATTGACCTTTTAGTTACAGTAAGGAAAAGTGCTCTAGAAATCTTAGGGGCTGTTATTGTTATGAGGCACTGAACTTTGTGCATGTTTAATACAACATTATTTTCCATTCAGGGTCAGTGAAGTACCTCAACAAGTACTGTTTCTGAAGCAATAGCAAATGAGTTCTTAATGGATGGCCAAGCAAAATCAGTACAAAATAACCAGATCCACACTTTAATCAGAGCTGGCAGTAGGACCTACATTAAAGAGCTGTGAAGACAAAAGGAATTTTGAATGCTTTGCTTGCTATTTATTATGATACATAAATAATATATTTCTAATCAGGGGTGCAACAGGCACAAGAGATTTCACTCTGGGCCCCATCTGGTTCTGTGAATTACAGTGAATATAATGTGAAGACTGAAATATTTGTTTGCTTGTTTATAAGTGCATATATTTGAAAAAATGTGTTGTTTTTAGCAAGGCCTGAAATTCATGTCTGAAGGTATATAGTATGTATATGTATATAAACACGCAGTCAGATTAATGCAAACAAACCATTAATGCAAACAAGGCCAAGTCTTGTTCAATCTCAAACAAGTCTCAGATGGATCTCTAGAGGGAGATGGAGATGTAACAAGTGTACTATAAGCAAGATGTTGACTGTTTGAAGTAAAGCTCTTAAATAAAAGCCTCTGATTATAGACACAGCATTTTTATTGCTGCTGCTTTTCTTTCAAAGGTGCTGTTTAGCACTAGTTGTGGAATAAGACTCTGCTATAAATATCAGATAAATATAAATATAGGTGTTACATTTATTTATTAATATATTGCACCTCTGTATGTAGTTGCTCTTATTTGAAAAATGTTGCACATGTTTCTCTGCACTTAATTAATGGTAATTAGAAATAAGCATTCCCATCTGTATTGACTTCATGGCAGATTCATGAAAATGAAACAATGTTTTAATAGCATTATGCCAATACTACAATTAAGATTTGAAAGCTATTGCAAAGTTTTAGAGAGTCCTGGAAACATTCCCTCATGCACTCATATTGTTTACAAATGCAGTCATACTACAAAAGAATGGCATAACAATCTCTTCCCTCTCAAATGAAATTATCCTCAGTAACTGGATTGGCATTGTAGTTTGGTCCAATACTTTCCACAGAGTCTGTTTTTAAAATCTTTGAATCGTCTGTGAGAGTAAAAGGTCTCACTGCTGGCCAGTATTTTTGCACAAAAAAAACTCTTGTTTTTTCCCATCGATCAAGAGTGTCCAATTAGGCCCAAATGCAGATATTTCTTCTACAGGCGGTTTTCTCATTAAACGTTACTTGTAGCGCTGCGTGAACCTCCAAATAAAACAAATTGTAGAGATCAGTTGCATAAAACTGGAGTGACCAGGTGTCTGTGCTGCTATATTCTTAATAGGTCTGCTGTTGATACAAAGACACTCTGGATGCAGACACGCAATCTCTTTAGAGGAATAGTTCACACAAAAATGAAAATTTGCTGAAAATGTACTCACCCTCAGGTCATCCAAGAAGTAGATGAGTTTGTTTCTTCATCAGAACAGATTTGGAGAAATGTAGCATTACATCACTTGCTCACCAATGGATCCTCTGCAGTGAATGTGTGCCGTCAGAATGAGAGTCCAAACAGCTGATAAAAACATCACAATAATCCACAAGTAATCCACACCGCTCCAGTCCATCAGTTAATGTCTTGTGAAGTGAAAAGCTGTGTGTTTGTAATAAACAAACACATCATTAAGGCGTTTTAAGCTTAAATCATCGCTTCTGGCCAAAAATCCATAATCCATTATAACACTTCCTCCAGTGAAAAAGTACATCCTGTGTTGTCCTCTCACATCAAATATATTTGTTTAGAACTGTTTTGGACTGTTTTCACTTGTAAACGGTGCTTGATCTGTGCATATTTCTCTCCTGATTCAGACAAGACAACTTTTTCACTGGAGAAAACAATATTATGGATATTGTTTTTATATTTTAACTGGAAACAATGTATTGAATATAAATGTCTTAATGGTGAATTTGTTTCTTACAAACACACAGCTTTTCACTGAAGTTGTGTGGATTACTTGTGGATTAGTGTGATGTTTTTATCAGCTGTTTGGACTCTCATTCTGACGGCACCCA